CTGCTGCTGCTGCTGCTGCTGCTGCTGCCGCTGCTGCTGGCACTGCCGCTGCATGAATTGCCTCTCGAGGTCTGCTGCAGCTCGGGGGGCCATCAGCCCCACGGGCTCCTCCCGTGGCGCCTGCAGCGGGGCCCCCCGGGCCGAAGGGGCCCCCGAAGCAGCAGCAGCAGCAGCAGCAGTAGGGGGCCCCTCGGGCCCTTCTGTGCTGTTGCGGGGCACTACACCTATAAGAGACAGCAGCTGCCGGCCAGCCTCGCGGCCCTGGGCTGCGTCTACTGCATGCACAGACACACGGAGCAGCAGCAGCAGCAGCAGCAGCAGCACAGGAGTGGCAGCAAATCCAGGGGCCCCTTCCCCGTTTGCTGCCTTTCTTGCTGCAGCTGCGCAGCTCTTAAGGGACATCAGGGGGCTTTGGCTCACGCGGCTGGCCTCTGTGCTGCCTCAGCAGCAGCTGCTGCTGGTGCAGCCGCTGCTGCTGCTCGTACATCATCTGCATGCGCTGCTGCTGCAGCCGTTTCCGCTGCTGCTGCTGCTGCTGCTCCTGGGCGAGTTGCTGCTGCAGCTGAAACTGCTGCTGCTCCGGCAAGTGGGGAGTCTGCTGCAGCTGCATTAGATACGCTGCATGCGCATGCAGCTGAGGCTGCTGCTGCCGGGGCCCCCGGGGCCCCTCCTGGCGATGTGCGCTGCGCCCTTGGGCGTCCTGGAGGAAGCCCCCCGCAGCCTCCCGCGCCTGCTGTTGCAGCTGCTGCTGCTGCTGCTGCTGCTGCAGTCTCCGCGTGGGGTCGGGAAAGCTGTCCTCCACGTGGGCCTTCTGCATGCCCCCCTGGCGGTCTGCTGCTCCCTCAGAGCCTTCCTGGGGGCCCGCCAGCATTGCAGTAAACCAAGCAGCAACAGAAGCAGCTCCGGGGTTCGACGGGGCAGCAGCAGCAGCATGAGCAGCAGCAGCATGCGCAGCAGCAGCACACGCTGCGGCCTTCGAACGCGTCTGCGCGGACTCCTGGGGGCCCCCCGGGGGCCCCCTGCCCCAAGCCTCGGAGCCGAGGGAGAATTCCTGCATGCAGCAAGCCAGCAGCATTCCCCTTGAACAAGCCCGCAGCAGCAGCAGCAGAAGCAGCAGCAGCAGCGCTCACCGTGTCTTCCAAAAAGGAAAACTCTTCCTCCACATCGTGTTCAAGTGGAACTCCCCCGAGGCCAACTGCAGCCTGTGGGGGCCCCATGGAGTCTTGGGGCCCCCAAATACTCTGGAGGTCCGTTTGGCGTGTCTGCTGCAGCAGCAGCTGTTGCTGCTGCTGCTGCTGCGGGAAGCCCCCCAGGGGCCTCGGGGCCACCGCAGCGCCTGGGGGGCCCCCCAGGCTGCTGCTGCTGCTGCTTGCTGCTGCACTCTCTTGCATTGCTTTAGACTCTCCAGACTTCATAGAACGCAAATAACTTTCCAAAGAAATGCCACTTTCCAGCGCCTTCTCGGCCAGTCGAATATCTCCCATAGAGAACGCCGCGAGGCCCCCGTCGG